ATATCAGAATTTTACATAATACTCACAAAATTAAATTGAAGGATAGTAATCTCTTAGCATAGATAGCTAAATGGAGATGACGATTCCTTTACTCGAAACAAAATTAAGAAATTGAACTACTTTTTGCTAACAATTATTATATAAAAAATTAAGTATACACCATATCTGTGTATTGCGACAGTGAGTGTTGTGGTGTTTGGAAGGTAAATGATACAGAAAAAGGACATAAAAACAACTTTTGCAGGGGTACAAAACTTGACCTAGGCCAACCTGTAATTAGATCAATATGTTCCGGTTCGATTCCAAAGTGCTCCGTAACCCCACGTCCAGTAGAACCCAGAACTCCAAATGAAACAGTTTCATCTAGAATTATTCGCACCTTGTATTTGTATTTAAGGGCAATAAGTTCAGGCAAAGGACAGATATCACCATAGTCAAGATACAAGCCTTCTATAACGAGAAAACGCCGAGTAGCCTGGGCCTTCTTCATATCCTTCTGGTCTTCTAAGGCCTGCTTCATTAATAATTGCTCCAGATGAGCCAAATCATTGTGGCGGAAAAAGCAGATGCGGCTTCGGGATGCGACTAAGCCTTGAAAACATGCTAGGCTGATACCTTCGTCGGCAAATATAACATCTGTCCGTTTTGCATATGAGGGAATGGCACTAGCCACAGTTGAGAAACCATAAGAGTACACAGCCACCTCCTCAACCCCTAGAAATTTCTCAAGTATTTGTTCCAGATCCAAATGGACGTCAAAGGTCCCATAAAAACCTCGGGGTCCGCAAGAGCCCACGCCATATTTATGCATACTCTTGATAGCTGCTTCATTCAACCTCTTTTCTCCAACAAAATTAAGAAAGTTGAAAGAGGAAAGATTCAAAAAAACCTTTGCGTGGGATTCAGAGGAAATGGGATCTTTATTTTCGTATTCCACATACCTGAAAAATTCAAACGAAATTGCAATGGTAAATTAGGTCTAAGAGACTTTTCGACAGAAATTCACTGTTACGAACAAATGAGAATAGAGTATATCAGTGGTTCCCAAACTTTTCCTAGTCGCGATGCCCCTTTTCAATTAAAATTTTTCTATGGCACCCTATCCTAAGTATGACCATTCGTAAGAGATAAAAATAAATAAAACTCGTGTATCTTCATTATTTTTTTCTACTTTATTAAAATTTAATAATTATTGTGATGAATGAGCCTACAAGTCACTGCACATTTTCTTAAATTGAAGCTTTTACAATATTTCGCTGCGCCCTGTAAAGAGGCCGCGGCGCAGTTTGGGAATCACTGGAGGACATAGTCGATCAAAGACAAAATAATAATTATTGCAATAAAAGAAAGTATCAGCGAACCAAAACTTTGGAAGAAATCATACCTATTGGCAAGCACTAAAGTGAAATATCATATTTACATTGCATATAATCTTAAACGACGTAAAAATTTCTCAAAAATCTAAAGGCCAGGGGACCTAGCTTTCGAAACCCGACGGAGGAAATTGTAAGAGGCACTCTAGATCAAACTTGTGAATAGCAAGCGAAATAGGCTTAATGATTTTATTGCAGAAAATAGTGTTATAAATGCCAGTAACTGTACAAGCACATCAAGCAAGTATAAGTCGAGTTTCGTAGGTAAAATGTTGAGGCCAACAATGCAAGTGTTTAACCTGTGTGTACCTGTTAATGAATGAAAAAATGTCAAAAAGCAAAGAGCCGTAAATTCAATTACTTGTGCATTAAGAGAGGAGGCTTTGACACACGACTGAAGAATTATTGATGAATAAATACAATAAAGCAAAAGCAGACTCAGGGTCTAAATTGCACAAATTGGAGTCATAATAACTTTAAACAAATAAATAATGCCTAAGAATCCACATAAATTATTAAGTATTTAATTTTCGTTAAATATCAAGCTGCGAGAGCATATTAGGGAAGCTACAAGTTAGACAGCCCGATTGTAGAAAAAAAGGCCAAAATAGGGTTTCAAAGAATAAAATAGGCATCACATTCATTTGAGAAAACGGTAAACTAAAACTTACGTACTTTCCAAGTACAGTAGAGGCTCCTACATGAAAATGCTTTGATAGATGCGCAGGTACTTCCCACTCGGCTGGAACTAGAGAATCAGGCGTCCATTCTCTGATAAGGGTAAGTTTTTCTTTCTCTGTAAGCTCAACATTTTCTTGTATCTTGTAACTCCTTTTGAAAAGCAGCCAAACTATCCCAATTATGAGAAGAATCTCGAAATAAATGTGGTACGTTGGAGCTCGAAGAGCACTGTAAATCAATCTGGGCCATGTGTACTTAGAATTTGGATTTTCTGCAGAAAAATATAAATGTCTGATAATATAGCTCACCAATCAGAGAAATGAACGAATCCATACAGAAGCGAATTAAAAAAGAACGAATAGGCCGCCTAACTGTGTAATCAAACACAACAAAATAAATACAAAAAATTAATTATTTGCTTAGTTTATATAATTTTAACTATAGCAAGCATATCAATATTATTTTTAATGACATTTAGTTTCCATTTAGCAGTTTTGTCAACTAGTTTCATCGACCAAAGAAATTAACTAGCTGCTCACAACTGCGATTAGTTATGGTGTGCCCAAAGACAAGAAAAAAGCATTTTACTACGTGAGATGTAATTTTAACAGCAATTTAATAGTTTTAAATGGAAATTTTTTAAATTGATTATTTAAGTCAAAATCACTTATTTTAAGTTAATTTTACCACGTACATAAGAATATATTGCTTTTTCTCAGTAATTTATTCATTTGAGGTTATTTTCAATTATTACACCTTTGTTATCTAATAGGTTATTATGTTGCGCATTTTGAAAAGATAATGTCCTTATTCAAAAAATCAGGTTTCGTCTCTCAATACCTATTATGTAAAATAATGTTGGCTTGTTTTTCCCAATAGTTAGTGCTAAAGTGACTTAATATCGAATAAAAGTGCATGATGAAGTTATTCTTTAATGGATTTAACCTGAATGCGAGGAGCGATTTAATTGGCCTACAGTCGTAATAGATCTTCCTTCATATTAGGGCAATCGTCTACACACAACAAAAATGAAAAATTAATCACAATTTTTCGGAAATCTTGTGAATTACGGAGGCTGTTTTGTTAAATAGAGCTATATATAGGAAGCCAACTTAGGCAAACTTTATTACTACTTTTCTCTCTAACTATAGTAATGAGGATAAGGTTGGAAGCAATGATTGGTAAGAGTATGAATCTAGCAGATAAGAATCTTAGGCATACGAATTTTGCTAGGTTTTAAGATTTCTCACTAGACAAGAAGCACCTAGTGGGTTGATTGGATCTAATATTGAGTTGATACTAATTAAAATGGGGACTATATAATAATTGAGAATATATAGAGATGCCCGAAATAACGTTGCAATTTTTTATCCTTGCCGGGTAGGCAACTGTTTAAGTATATATGATAAGATTTTTAAGGAAACTGCAAAACCTGTTTGATCATGCCTATCTTTGAAGAAGAAAATGACTAATTATCCAAATCAGGCACCTTAAAATGAATAGGATAGTGTGGCCAAATATACACTTTAAAGTAGCACAGTTCGCCAAGGACTGACGGATCACAAAATTGCTTGAAGAGGCCTTTAGACTGGCAGAGCTTATAGCTGAAACTGATAATGAAATAAAGTAGTTTAAGAGTATATGAATTCTTAACTATGGCGTATCTGTTACAAAACACAAAGTTCTACAAGCTAATTAAACAAGAATATTAAATATCACTCCCAATGGTTAGAATGGGATCGAGAACTTAAGTTCAAGCTCTAATGTTCACCCGGTGAGCACTGTTAAGATATTATGAAGGTAATTTGGTTGAGTATAGCCTTTATTTTAAAGCTTCTAATCTATCAGTGAGTAATACATATTTCATATTTGACAGCAAGGTTTATAAACGGACGCAAGAACCTGCAATTGGTTATTGATAAGCTCCAATTTGGCGAATTGATACATGGCAAAGTTTGAAGACAGCTTAATGCAATAGGTTATTCTGGTTCTTAAATGATTATTAGATATGTGAATGATTATTTTATCATCTGGCAGTATGGTAAAGACAGTTTAGATTGTGAATATGAAGACCAAGATGGTGTGGCCTTCTGTTAGGTCGTAGTCTCTCTTAGCTTTATTATGTTCCTAAGAAGGACATAGATTGTCTCTAAAATATCAAACGCTTGCCCTCTACAAATCTAAAAATAGAAGCCCTGAAACAATAAAAGAAAAGAAACAATTCATATTACCAATTGTTATATTTTGAAACGGCCAAATACAATTTGGGAGAGCTGACAATACAAATACAATCAT